AAATTTGGGATTAATTCTTTATTTTTTCTTTTCTTTTCTTTTTGTTGTATTTGAATGGAGGGTAAAATCGTCAAAAATAAATAAAAAGAACCTTCTGCGCAAAAAAAATGTAAAAGGTAGGGACGAAAATGACAAAAAATGAAAGGTTGGAACGTTTTCCACAATAAACTTGAAAGGTAAGGAAATTTTGTGCCAATTACCCTATTCTAAAAAATGAGTTTAGGCTATGTCCAAATTTAGTTGATTGTGAAGCTTGACTTTGCCGCCACCTTTTTTAGGCTTTTTTTTACGTCTGAACTTTGCGAAACCTATATAGGCTCGTAAAAGTTTGAAACTTGATATTGTTGAATAAGGTTATAATTAAATATTGATGGGATAAAAGAATAGTTGTCCCGAAAGTAACCGTAGAAATTCATTTGTGTAAGCGCCTGTTTGTCTATAATTAAAATTTTAAATTATTTGCCACAGAATCATTCTTCACAACATATTCACATTAAAATATTCTATACACAGACTAATGAAGTTTCTTTATTTTTTAACAACATATACTGTTCCAAACTCTTTAATTTATCAAATAATGGGTGACAAACAGTGACTAAATTTGAGACAACTGCTGCATGTATGTCGGAATGGAATTCATTAGGAAGGGATTGGATTCAGTGAACTCAAACCAAAACTGTGGGACTAGTTTGTGTGTACGTTAAACAAAAGTATGGGACAACATAGTCTGACTCGTTGATTAAAATGTGCATGTACACTTCAAAATGTACTCTCTACAAATTCCTCTGACGTTAAGATTAATTTGAAGAGTCTCTTCAAGCATAATTTAAGGGTTAATTTTTTAAAATAGAGAGAATTTTATGTTTAAAGAGGCTATTAAAGAAGCTCTAAAATCTGATTTATTTTATATTGACTATCCATTCAACTACTAGGCGTTCAAGTATGTTTAAGATGTGATTCTAGTAGCTGTTGTAGGGAAATTTATTTGATTAACATAACGCCCTTGAAAGCTATTCTCTTTCATTCGTCTGTCATCTCACAGTACTATTTTGTATCAGAACCTTGAATGTTCCTGTCGATACGGCTTGGATGGAACATGACAATGCTCGCCTTGATATTCAATTGAGTAAAGCAATACTACACTATGAGAATAGAGTTAAATGTTCCAATGATAATTGAACTTAGGTTTATATCTTTGATTGGTTATTGAAATTTAAAATGTCGAGTTTTTGTTATTGAATTTAAGTTCATATCTTCGATTGCTCACCGAAATTTAATTGTCGAGTTTTGACAATTGAACTTTGAAAAATATTGTACGTAAACTCAACATTTTTCAAAATTCAACATTTACGCTAGTGAGTAACGTATAATATTTTCTAAAATTTAGTGACCAAAACTAGATATTTTAAATTTCGGTAAGCAATCAAAGACATAGTCCTAAATTCAGTGATCAAAATTTGACATTTTTAACTTTATTGACCAATCAAATATATGAATCTAAGTTCAATGATCATTGGAACAATTAATTCTATGAGAACACGACTTTGCGCCATCACGTCGAGGCTCTGACCATGCAATTTGCAGTGGTACAATCACTCAATAGGAATCTTTACTCAAAATTCTTGCACAAAATCAAAGAGTATTGATTGTCAATTTTCGATATTCAAGTAACTCAATGAATATATATATATATCCTACATCAAGAACATCCTCTAACAATTTCAATTTTCATTAATAAAACAAACCATTTCACACTGTGGACATTAGCATTCTTGCTATTATGTACTCTATCGGTTTGGCCACTTGGCAGACTAATGTTAGAATATTTGATTGATTGCATTATCGTGTAAGAGGTGAAATTCTATGACAATGTCAAGTTGATTTTTGCATAAATCACGTTCCATGTTTACGGGTAGAGGTAACATGATTTAATTTGGACGAATTTTAAATTATTTTCAAATCAAATATTTAGAACAATTTGGTAAATTTTTGACCCAAACCAAACAAAACAATTTTTTACAGCTTAGTTTGGTTTCAAAATAGATATATCGGGTGAAATTTCACCATAACATTTAAATTGAAACCTTCTGACTATGAGCATGTTTGGTACAGTTTAAAACTCAATTAAAATCAATTTTTTGACTGTTATTTCATTATTTCAGTCGTTATTTTTGAATTCTTCTCTTACAGGTAGGACCCACTTTATTTCGAACGGTCAAAAAATCAATTAACAAAATCCCTACCAAATAAGTACTATAAACGGTGCAGTACTAATATATTTCTTTAATACAAACTTAAATTAATAAATTAAGACAAGGTTCTACTATAAAATTTGAACTTTAAACAAGAAAAATATTGTCATAAATAAATGAATATATCCTAAAGAGTCGATGGCAGCCAATTCGCAAATAAATGTGTTGTAACTAGGTTCATTGTCATCATCTAAGTTCTTTTTCTTCAAAAAAGGCTAACCGAACCACTTGACCATAGGAAAATGAGGAACCAATAGGACTGACCCGAAGTGCCTATATCTTCCAAGTAATGCTCGAAATGAGTACTTAGAAGTACAATGATCAATAAATAATATTACTTAGATAAAGTAAGTAATCAAGAAAACTAGTTCGATTAGGTTTAAGTTGTTTTTAACTATCAAAACTTAAATCAAATTATTTCTAGACTTTCTATTCGATGTTGAACGGTCGGAACGTAATTCACGTGGACTCGAACTAATAATTTCGAAAAAAATTCAATTCGACATGTTAACGATTTTATGGTTCCCTCTGTTATATTTACAGGTGAACTTTGATCTTTACCTAATTTAGAAGAAACGATTACATTTTTGAAACAAAACCAATAAACATTAAAAACAATTTAGCCCTTATTTAAAAGCGCAACCACCCATTTCTTCATAAGCTTTTTCTCCTTTCTTAACATACATTTTCCCAAACAAATCGATCATTATAAAATGCCCCAAGTTACCAAGTATGTCTAGCACAAGAAAATACATGAAAGGTTATAACTCAAGCACGAAGTATTTGGATTTCTCCAGGTTGGTAATTAAAGCTAAAGCTCCCGGTGGGGGGCCGTGGCGGTGCTGACGGCACCGTTACGCCGCCCAGCCTAGCCTAGTGCAACAAAATTAGTAGGGGACCATGAAAATTTTGCACAAACGTTATAGGTAGGGGACCATATTTTCCCCTGTGGTGCTGGTGCACCATTTGGGCAGATTGCAGACCCACATACCAAAGATAAGTGGGACCACACACCATACATCACACCTTCCATGGTCCCCACAATGCTTAATTTATACGTGGCAAGATTTAATTGGTGGACTCCTCGCGCGTGATTGCTTGGTCCCCTCTTTTGTCCAGTTGCCACGTGTCCTTTCTCCGTGAGTGGCGGAGTGCTGACCGACGCAATTTATGATTTTGGGTTCTTTATTTTTTCTCATGACGCTAGTTTTTCCTTCAAATTCTTTTTTACACATTTCTCCCTCCGTATTTCTATCATTTGTGATTTAAGGAATACATTTTCACATTTGTTTGTATATGTGATTTTCAGTTCTTTACCACATCAAGATTGAGACTTTTAAACTTCATCGATTATAATAGATGATAAAGACTTCTGAACAAATTCGATAACTTTCGGTGATTATATATGATAAATTTTTGAACTAAATAAATTTAATCGAAAGCCTCAAGCTTAGGGTCGAGCCTTCTCTATTTAGTACTTATTTGACTTAGATCAGATGAATTTTTTTATTTTATTTTATTTTATTTTTTGTTGTTGATGCGTGAAAGAAATTGGTAAACAAAAACTATTTGTCAATGTATTGGAACATGGCAGCTACTTGCAGGCATTTATTAACATTGTTTATCAATCCTTTTCTTATCAAATTGTTAAATCAAACAATTGGATAACGTAATAAAGGTTAATGTTGATATTTAAATTCCATGTCCTGATTGGAGGACATAGTACATCTTACGATTATTGTCAACACAAAATTAATTATTCAATTAATTAGTGCATTTTATATGTGAAGTTTAATGACATTTTTAGTGCTCATGCTTGAGTAGAACTTGAACTTGAAATTTAAGAATAAACTAAAAAGTTAGTAATAATTAAACCATAAAAGGATGAGTAGAGATAGAACTTTTGCTATATCACTAGCGAACGACTTGACCATGCGTCAACAATGATCACCAATGAAGAAATGGACATAGATGGATACAAATATTATCTAACTACGAGCTAGTGATTGTCAGAATAGGAGATGAGATAAACAACATCGAAAGATAGGCAATTCAATTAATTCAGACGAGCAGTGCCAAATAATACAAGTATCATTGGATCATAGGCCGATAAAAATAAGTGATTGGACAATTCTAGATCATTGAGATAGATGAAATTACCAAATCAATTATAGATGGCAAAAGAATTCATTAAATTATGAGTATTAAATGGGATTTGCTTAGTGTAATTTGTAGACGAAATTACCAAATCAATTCTAGATAGCAAAAGAAATCGCAAAAGTAGGGGTGTTATGTGGGAAGAGCTAAGTGCAATCTGGGTTGCTTCATCGACTTGTGACTTGGATCGGCACGACTAATCATTTTTCTTTATTGAAATTACCTTTTCAATCACTTATTATGAGCCGGTTTGTGGATGAAAAATTATTTTTAAATGAAAATGATAAGAGAAATACTAACTCTACAACAAATATATAAATAATAATTAATAGTTATGAATATATAGTGTAAAGGTTAGTGTTTAACTTTGAATGAATTTATAAAGATAATCAAATCAAAGCATGAGTTAAAAAATAATTACTACAGAAAAGTGTTGTATCATTAAACAGTTAATTCGAGCGTGCACCTGCAAAATTTCTCCACCTTTTTCTTCGAAATAGTGGAAAGTTGTTTCCCGAGCTGTTTTCCTTCCGCTCAGTAAACGGTAAACCACTTTTAATAGACCCCGTTTACATCTTCTACTTTCACCCCTACGCAATCTATCCGATTCATCTTCTAATCCCCACCCCACTCCACCCAAAATATACATACGCAGACATATATAGTAAAATACGCACAAATCTCTCTCTCTACAAAATCACTCTCTCAAACCTCCCTTCTTTGTATCTTTAAGCATAGGCCCGGTATGTGCACGTAATTATTAACCTAAGTTACTAATATTTCTCCTTCCCTGTCTCTCTATACGTACAGAGTGAGAGAGCAGGTGGCTACTTCAGAATTTTCTCTCTTATCATCCTGTCGTTGACATTCATCTTTCACGCACAAAACACGCATAGTTAGATATCTTTAACTTCCCTATATTATAATTTTGCGATATATACCATACAGTTGTAAAATCATGACGGAAACTGGGTCGTCATATTGAAATACAGACAATACAGAGAATTTTTTGTGGGCTTGTAAATTGATGGCGTTTCCAAATCATTTGTCGCAAGAAATGGCTTTACAGCATTTTTCAGACCAACATTTAAGCCAGAATTCATCGGTTCTGCGGAATATACTCCCCGAACATCTGGGGGATCATTCTCCTGTGGAAGAAAAGCCTCCGGAACACCATCACCACCACCAACCACCGCCAACTTGGCTGAACAGTGCGATTCTCCGCCAGCAGGGCCAGTTCTCGACCAGTGGAGAAGGGAATTTTCTCAATTTGCAAACTAACTCCGACTCCCCCTCTGCCGCCGCGGCGGCGTTGCAGGTGCCCAACAATCAGTGGCTTTCGCGGTCGATTTTGCAGCGGAATATCAGTGATGTGAGGGATGATATTCAGGTGTCCAATGCTTCGATGATCGCTGCCGCAATTTCTCATGAATCCGCCGATGTAAACAATAACAACAACCATAGCGCGAATGATAACAATGACCTAACGGAGAGTGGAGGTGGCGCAACCGGTGATGGAGTGATGAATTGGCATAATGCGAGGTACAAAGCAGAAATTTTATCGCATCCATTATATGAGCAGTTGTTATCGGCCCACGTGGCATGCTTGCGCATAGCGACGCCGGTGGATCAGCTACCAAGGATTGATGCACAGCTCGCACAGTCACAGCAAGTTGTGGCCAAATACTCCGCCCTTGGCCATGGAAATCTTGGTGGTGATAAGGAGCTCGATCAGTTTATGGTAAATTTTATTTTCTCTTCTTTTAATATTACAAATTTCTAAAATCATATTTGATTGAAGTTTTTGAATTTACTTAATTTACTAATGAGAATTATGAGGGAGAGAAAATCGTGGGTTTCTATTGTTTTGTGAGATAAACGATGAAGTGAATTGATGGTGTGGTTCAGAGTTTTGTTTCTTTGTGATGTATTACATTCCAATTCTGAATTTTCTTCGACTTGCTTCATCCCGAGTGTATGCTATAATTTTAGATATATAATTCTGTCTTTAATTGCAGTCTTGTAAAAGATATATAAGAAAATAGCAAACAGATTTTCTTATTCACAGGGGCATAGTTCTCGATATGGGGAGGTTAACTGAGGTCAATTGTGTTCCAGGAATGGTTGATTGAGGGAAAAATAATTTCAAAAGTCCAGTCGGAGAAGTTCCTATTAAGCCCGAGTGTATGCTATAATTTTAGATATATAATTCTGTCTTTAATTGCAGTCTTGTAAAAGATATATAAGAAAATAGCAAACAGATTTTCTTATTCACAGGGGCATAGTTCTCGATATGGGGAGGTTAACTGAGGTCAATTGTGTTCCAGGAATGGTTGATTGAGGGAAAAATAATTTCAAAAGTCCAGTCGGAGAAGTTCCTATTAAATACTCCAGTAAAGATCAAAAGGCTTGGAACTTAGAGCTTCTTCTGAGAAGTAGGAATTTGTTTTAACCTTTTGACTGCTGCAAAAAAATTAGTACGAGCACCTCAAATCTTGTGGGGTGCTTCTCCGTAGAAGACAACAAATTTCTAGTTAAATGACTACTATTCTAATAATCAGCAACTATTGGTATATGCCACTGTTCAGGCCATACGAGCTCGACGTGTTGGATTCTTTTTGTGAGTATTGGTATCTATTGTATTTGTTTAAAAGAATGAATGTTCTTATGTAGTTCCCAACACAAATATTTTCCAACTCTCACAACATGAAGAGTGACTTTGATGGAATCTAGATGAGTGACCATTGTAGAGGATTTGAACTTGCATATAAGAATTTCAAGATCAAATGGCTGTTGATGCATCGACACGGATACGTGTTGGACTCGTCGACGCACGATTTTTCATAAAAGTACTAACATGGCACGTTGTTGATATGTTGATTAGATTCTTTAAAATTATTCATTTATATAATATAAATTTAGTTTTATACTTGTTATTAATTTTTCTCGTTGAGATTTTTTTAAATATGAGTACTTATTTGTTAGTTAATAATAAATTTGAGTTAACAATATGTATTAGTTCTGATAATGAAAGAAAAATGACCATGGTAGAGTGTTAGAGGAGTGTAGGTATCCTACACGTGTTTGACACGGACAAGCTATTCTAATTGAAGTGTCCATGCAACAAAAATGAAGTTCATGCATGGTGACTCCTTCCATGATCATAACTTCAGAGTTACCAGTCTGTGTGCAACATTCAATTGATAGTGTAATTTGGTTTTCGACTTGAGCCAAATCTTGAGATGCTCAATTTTCTAGAGAAGTGAAGGTGCAATAATGTTTATCTTATTAAAGTTGACTGGTGTCATTCAGTTTTCTAATTTTTTATTTATTATTATTATTATTATTTTTATTTTTTTGTACTATAGAATTTAATGATTCAAATCGTAGTTCACTCAATATATTTCCATTTCTGTGTCTTTGCTGGTTCCATTTGCAGAGATGGTGGTGTTTGAAATTTCTCTGGCTATATAATTGTGTTGATGAATTTTCTGTGATTTTCTATTTTCATCTGTAAGAACAGTGTTCCTTGATGAACTAGTTGATATAATGGCAGGGTATGTAGAATGTTTATGCATGCCTAGATACGAACAATCTATATAAACTTAAAAGTGGTGCTTCATACCATAAAACATAATGGGTGAAAGTTTTGGGTCCTTATTCTTCTGCTTCTTCCCACCCCTCCTCCAGTACCACACGGAATATTTAGTCTTAGTTGTTGTTTGATGGTTCCTGGGTTCCCCTTGACCCTTGCATGTTTGAGCCAATCTTTGAACAAATTTCTTCCATGAAATTTGACTTGCTCGTCTAACTGTTCCTATTTTATGTCAATCTTGTGTGTTGAGCTTCTCATGTTTTGGTTCCAATTCATATTTGGTTACAAGGGGACAAAGCTCTACGGCAACGATTTATGGTTCATTGTCTTTCCTTTTTCTCATCTCATCTTCCCTAAATATGGGAAGAACCAAGTCCAAGCAATTTGCAGATATATTCCTATATATGCTTGTGCATATTTTCTCTTTGCTGTTTCTTTTTACATATGCTTACCCAGTAACCATAAATATGATAACATGGGCACACATCTAACATAGAAGGAAGTATTTGGTTTTCTGTTTGTCTGTTTTACTGAATATCTTATTGTTAGTCTTGGATTAGTTTCCCTAAAAATGTTACACGATTAGTCAAAACATAGTTACAACCTACAGAATATGCTACTTTGATGGACAATCCGGTAATGCATCTACTACTTTATTCCCCAACATTGACTTATGCTTACCTTCTGTTTTTCTTATGCAGACACATTATGTCTTACTGCTATGTTCATTCAAAGAGCAACTACAGCAGCATGTGCGTGTTCATGCAATGGAAGCCGTTATGGCCTGCTGGGAGATTGAACAATCCTTACAAAGTTTAACAGGTAAGGCTTTACTATTCTTTCTGTCCAAAGAGGCTCATTTCAAAATTTTGCCAACTCTTTATACCACATTTCAGAATCAGTAGCTTCTGTTGGTATGTTAGGCAACTATATGGGAGTATCCATAACTTTTCAGACCTTGACCAGAGATATTGTTGAATATGCTTGTGTCCTCTTGTCCATCATGGAATCAATCCCATTTTTTCAATGTCATCAATTGAATCTGTGATTGCCTTAATTGGGATATCGTCATTTAATAGTTTCAGTTATGCTATGAATTGATCTTGTCCTCATCTTCTACCTTACCACATGTGATTGTGAATCACCCATACCGATAATAAGCATAGGCTTTTCTAGATTGTTATACTTGTCAACCTATCATATTTAGTGTAGGAAATTGAATGGAACCAAATTCATCAATCCTTTCACATATTTTCATAAATCTCCATGTTGAAATCAATGAGAAAATAAAAATGCGGAAGCGTACCTTGATCCATAGATCTAAGTGTATTGAAGAGATTATGATCTTTCAATTGTTACGTGATCTTCTTCTTGAAATCTTCTCTGTTGATGGGATGCAGAGAGTTTTGAAAAATCACGTACAATTGGGGACTATGACCCCATATTAAATAACTGTAATTTGCAGTTATTAACTTTCAATTATTTTAAATTGGCCTCTCATCAATTTAAAATAATCATTCCGGTCTCTACACTTTAATCCCATGACAATTAATACCCATTAGTCCAAAATTAAAATCAGTGGATCACGTTATTAACTAAACCTTAAAATAGCACCACATTTTAATATATATACATGTGTGTACTAGACGATGGAATTTTTCCAACAATTAGTCCTTGCAGCTCTTTTTTTTTTTTTTTCGGGATGGGAAAAATTGTATACAGCAAGAAGCTTACCTTTGTATGCCTCTTTGACCAGGAGTTTCGCCAGGAGATGGAACAGGTGCCACAATGTCTGATGATGATGATGACGACCAGGTAGACGGTGATACGAACTTGTTTGATGGAAGTATGGATGGTCCTGACAGTATGGGATTTGGTCCGCTGATCCCAACGGAGAGTGAAAGATCATTGATGGAGCGTGTAAGGCAGGAGCTAAAGCACGAGTTAAAACAGGTTAGCTACTTGACTTTTGTCAACACTCATTTATCGACGTTCATTCAATCAATCCCTTAATTTTTCTTTCTTCACTTAATAGGGTTACAAGGAAAAGATTGTGGACATCAGAGAGGAAATTTTACGCAAGAGAAGGGCGGGAAAGCTCCCCGGGGATACGACCTCAGTGTTAAAAGCTTGGTGGCAATCACATTCCAAGTGGCCATACCCGACAGTATGTATCAAAATTTGACTTCACCTTGTTCTATGGTAGATGTTAATAAAAAATTACCATATTGGTAGCAATAGCTACAAAAGTGTAGGTCCGCCCAAGCTCATTTACCAGTTGTTAATTTGTACTTTCCAGGAGGATGATAAGGCAAGATTGGTTCAGGAAACAGGATTGCAATTAAAGCAGATAAATAATTGGTTCATCAATCAAAGGAAGCGGAACTGGCACAGTAATCCTTCCTCTTCTACAACCTCGAAAAGCAAACGCAAAAGGTATTATATTTTCAAAAAGTATTAAAATTTTTTAGAAGGATTTCCACCAGTTTGATTTTATTATGAAGTCCAACAGGTGAAAACAGCAGCAATAGATTCGTGTAAATGAAGTGGTATAATCAAGAAAAAGAGCTTCCAGAGTATTTTCTGTTCATGCTTCTGCTTCGATTACTATATTAAACACCTGTGGCATACTGCAATACTGAATTCTCATGGTAAGCAAAAGCTCTCAAAGACCGCTAGCATTGATATGGACGCAAAGGATTGTACTTAAAATTGGAAAAAACACGCAGCATTAGATGTTATAACGCTAGGAAGTTTTTTAAGTTTTTATATACACGACGACAACTGGGTTAAATACTTGAATGTCTTGGTGAAGTTGGTCGAGTTTTGTTTTCTGTTTCCATATGTGTGTACAATAGGAACAGCACGGTGGTGTACAGTTGAATAATCTTTGTCCTGCTGCTAGGTATGTGGTTTTCTTGTAGCAATGTAGTGGTAACATATATAAGAATATAAAGTAGCTGTAATTTTGTACTCTAATTCCAACCATATGATGCATTGGTACACTTATCTTCTAAATTTTATTGAATTGGTGTTTATGATTGTTCATTACTAGCTGTAGATATCTAATTTGCAATCATTTCCCATATGAAAGCAAGGATTTGTTTGACATTCAAAATTGTTGGCGTATGAAGGATTATTTCATTGTTGAAGAAAAACATAAAAGAGGTCTTGGTTTTTTATCAAGCCAACCATAAACAATGGTAGGTAAAGATTTTACAGATGGTTGGTTCACAAGGAGTCAAGGACCAGTATTATGTGGACTGAATTTATTTGAGAGGAAATATGCCATATACTGCAAATTTTCCCTAATATCCAGGTTTATTTTTCATTGCTTTTATTCTAAAAATATTGTGTTGAATTTACAATTAGTGGACCATAACCTGATTTACCAAAAAAAAATAAAATTGATTTTCAATTTCAAACCTATCAATAATACACTGCAACAAGAAATACGCCACCACCGATCATTCGCTTAACTGCCGTATCGGCAATGCTGCCATAGCATCACCAAATTTACACTAGCGTTGTTGTAGCACCACCATGACAATCACGATCCATCAACTTGTTTGAATGGGAATCAGAGTTAACAGGCAATCAGCCTTCACCGGAAGGCGGGAGTGTGCAAAATGCACAGAAGAACTTGGTTGTCACTAGATGGCTTGTGGGGAATGCGTGTTACACAATTTGTTACTAAGGCCATCAAATCCACATGAATGTAACACAATGTGTGTAGGCTTTGTGAAGCTGTTTGGTGATGGTGGAGAGTGTCGGATTTGACAGGTTACCGTAGTAATCTAAAGTCAGCGGTGATCTATTTTTTTGTTTTTTTTCCCCTTCAAATGCAACATTGTAATGATTAACGAATGACATAACGATGTATTTAAACATGTAACATAAAATATAACATATAACCAAAAAAATGTAATACTTTGTTTTTTTTTTTCCAAACATTTGTGTAACTCAATATGTTACATTTCTCACATATTTGAGGAGTCGTCAAGTTTTTGGCTTATTTTGTAAATTTCCGTTTGTATGAAGTTTAACTCACATTCACATATTTGCGGAAGAGCCCATGAGCTTCATTGGACTGCCCATTGAACCCAATTTCGATAGTGCAGTCTACGCCAAAAGTGTAAATTACACCACATACCTATTATGTAATTAATATTCAAATATTACTTTTGAACATTTTTTTCACCATAAATACTTTATTACCATAGTAAAATAAAAAAGCTGAAATTACAATAAATTCATACGGGCAATCAACCCCAAACAAGCCCTTTACTTAGTACCCAACGTTGATAATATCCCATTCCAACCTCCTCAAATCCACTTAAACGATTATACATCTCAAGAAAATTACTGAAAATGTCATCATGTGTAGAATTAAAAAAGCAATGAATATATGCCAAGATGAACCCCCAACATTGTTTGAAATATTAAATCATTTGAAACACACAGTCACATCATACATATCAATGAAGATGGATATCGATAATTTGTTGCCAGATTTTATTTCGAAGACGGCAACATACAAATGATAATATTAGATGTCTTTTAAAATCATGTAATCAGTTAAAATTTCAAATGACAATATTACGTATGGATAAATAGGACTTATGTCTATTCGAAAATATAACCACTGTATTCAATGTTTCTCTAATTACATATCATGCCTCAGTCTTGCAGTATTACAAAGTAAATCACATATTTAATCTCGAGGAAAACTCAAATAATCTTGTATGAAATCTGCACCATAATCCGTTGAAATCCCAAAAGATGCATACTGATAGATAGATTAAGAGGACGAAGACACTCAGTATGTTCTTTGGAATGAGTGTGTCTCCACCATTTTTCTTTTGTTTTCATGACTAAAAATGGAAGACTCGTTAATGTGCAGCATGAAGCATGTTGAATTCAATATATGTAAGTTTCAAATGTGGTTTGCGATATTTAGAAATTAATATTTTTAAAAAAATATAATTTCACTATAAGTTGGTACTTATATTTTCATTACGTAGTAAAGTGTGAATTATTTTTTCATAACAGGACATATACAAATTTTTCCAAAACCAATTTGTATTCATGAGTGGGTTGGACGTGAAGCAGGCCAGGAGACATTCGTGAGCTATAGGGAGTAAACGAGTATTGGCCACACACACCAAAATTATACATAGAAGAAATTTCTCAAAAAAGGGACCAAACTTGTGCGGAAAAATGAAAAGTAACGTTTTGAATCGGCCTGCCAAATTCGAACGTGATAATGTGATATCAAAGTGTTGACACACAAAAGTTCAGCTCAAATCGAATAGCCCAAGGAATGAAGCCCAATTGGAGGATCCCCAAATCAGATAGCCCAAAGAACGGCCCAATCAGGCAATGCAGGATAAATGCCCAAATAGGGAAGCCCATGAACGCGGTAATACCATCGTCCAAAGTTACAAGTCGCCCAAGATTTGAGCGAATGAATTGTCATGCAGTCGTCCAAAACTGTGACCCTGTTCTCGCCCAAACCTTCGAGTCGCCTAGGATTTTAGCAAACATAAGATGTTATGGTTACCCAAAGGTACGGTTAATAAAGCAGTTATTGAATAGCCTTATCACGTTCCACGATTCAAGGAATTCAATTGAAGACGGTTGAACGACAAAAGTAATGGTAGCAGTTAGAGAAGGCAGTTCCATGACAAGTTGACCACTATGAAGAAAGTGGGCAGTTATAGAGCGATCAAGCAGTTTTTAAGCGGTTGATCACGAAGAGATCATTCAGGGAGTATAAAAGGAAGAAAAGACATAGAGTAAAGGACCTCGAATCAAACACTCTCAAACAGAGAATACGTAACTTTAAATTTCTTAGTTTAGATTTAAATACTTCTTTTCAGTAACTCGTGTGCTGGCGCCCCTTGGAGGCATTTTGTTTTATTTTCCAATTGTAAAGTTATCGCCACCCCTTTTTGGGACTTTGTCTCAAGAGGTTTGTCCCTTACACAATCGTCTGATCCCTTTTTAATAGTTAGCGACTAACCCGCGCGAAACAATTTGGCACGCCCAGTGGGACCGTGGTGTTTGGTGTTGAAAATACAAAAGGTGAAACAATATGTCTCAGAGATCCGATAAGGAAGCAGCAAGTCAGGGAGAAGTTCAGTCTGTGATCGAGCGATATGAGGAGCAGCATAGCTCTCCATGAACAGATGAACAAAATCAGAGCAGTAACAGTCGTTACGAATCAATGACAGAGTTGAGTTCTCGAACTATGTGTGCACTACTTGGAGAACTCACGCAAGATGTCGTTGAACAGGTAAATTTTCAAAATATTCATAATATGGAAAGATTTATCAGAATGGGAATGCACATTATGACAACATGGCCAAACAACTGAATATTTTGAACGAAATAATGAATAAGTTAGTAGGCCAAATTTGTCAACTAGTTATGCCTCTTGCAAATCACTTTCAAATTAGGACAATTGTGGGACATAATCCCATAGCCCTAAATCCAAGTCAAGGGGTAGAACCACCTTTCGGTCTCTCTACTTCAAACCAAGGGGATGGTGTAATGCCAAATCAGAATAATGGTAGTGGTACGCCTAACTTGAGGGGTAATCCAAATGTAAGAGATAATGTCCTAAATAATGGGCAGAATACCCCACGTGTTAATGAGGGAATAAATGTTTAGGCTAATGGTAACAATGACCCAAATCATGGTAACTTTGTTGCCAATCAAGGACTAAACATCAGGCCTCAAACAAATCAACCGGTTAACCAACCTGTAGGAATTCCATATGACCCCAACGTCATGTTGAGGAATCAAATTATGAAAATCGTACAGGATCAGATGGCTTTTGAGGTACGTCCTGTCATTAGGCCGACTTACATAAAGTCATATCTTGATTGGGTAGACCAACCATATCCATGGCCTAGAGGGTATAAAGTGCCAGAATCCTCGTTATTTACCGGTTTAAGAGAGGTGTCTACTCTAGAACACATAGGGCGATTCACACTACAAAGTGGAGACGTAGCTGATTACCATAAAATGAGGCTTTTCTCTAATTCATTAACAGGAGTAGCTTTCTTCTGGTTCATCAATTTGCTAGCGAACTCTGTTCAAATATGACAACAATTGAAACAATTATTTCACGCTCAGTTTTATAAGACTGAGTCTGAAGTTACTTTGGCCGATTTGGCGAATCTACGTCAAATGCCAAACGAATGGGCAGAAGGTTTCCTCCAAAGGTTCAAGACAGCAAGAAGTAAATGTTTTGCACCTCTGCCCGAAAAAGAGTTTGTGAAAATCGCTCAAGGTTGTTTGAGCTTTGATTTGAAAAAGAAATTCCAAGACAAGGAATTTCCTGACCTTTTCCAATTGAGCGCGAACGTGATTAGGTGTGAACGATTGATAAGAGAAGAAGAACAGATAAAAAATTCTAGCAAGAGGACTTATTATAGAGACCCAAATTTTGATGTTCATACCATCAATAACGAGTCATACGATCAGATCGAAATATGTTTGGACGAATTAGTCAAAGGAGACACATATACTTGTCCTATAATGGCTAAGCCTAGACCATTGGACAAGGATGAGCCTGTGAAAGATGAAAACATAAAAGTTAGAACGTTCTCGTTCGATGTAACCAAAGCTGACCTTATATTTGATAAATTATATAAGGATAAGCAGATAAAGTTGAGCGATAAGCATAAATTGCCAAACCCTGAACAAATTAAGGGTAAAAAATATTGTAAGTGGCATAATGCATGGTCACATTTGACTCACAATTGCTTGGTTTTTCGCCATGTGTTACAGGATGCCATTGAATCAGGACGAATTACGTTCGATGATAAGAAGAAGATGACAGTGCATGAAAATCCTTTTCCATAGCCACTTGGAGTGAATATGGTAACATCTGGTTTCAAAAACAAGTTGCCAAAATTCAAGTTGGTTATAGATGATGGAGAAGAAGACCCTGGACCACATCCCAGTGTCTTTGAGCGTATTAAAGGGAAGGAGCCAAAAAAGGACGAAGACATCTTGTGTACAAGATGTAAAAGAGA